ATGTGGCCACCGCTCACTGTTCTGCTTCACTGTTGTTGGCGGCAGGCGAAGCAGAAGAGCAGTCTGTCGCAATCCTACTCTGAATGATGAATGATGGCAATCCTCGACTTGAGATTTCTGGACCACATTCTGTTGAGATGATAACTTTGAAACAAGTCCTCTCTTACAGATCTGCTCAGGGGATTGTTTTTTTATCAGGGGATCTGAAGGACACATACATTCATATCCAGATAGCTCCCCATCACAGACCGCTCTTAAAATTCGCGCTTGAGGGGGTGGCTTACCAATAATATACAGTCCTACCATTTGGACTGTCTCTTGCTTCACGCACCTTTACAAAATGCGTGGATGCAGCTCTCTCCCCACTGAGACAGAGGGGAGTTCGCGTCCTGGATTACCTCGATGATTGGCTGCTCTTAGCCCAATCAAAAGAGGAACTGTGTGCGCACAGGTCTCTGCTCTTCAGCCATCTAAAAAGTCTTTCCAGTACTTGAAATGCAGGCTTGGATCTCGCCGGATCACTCCCTGAAAATTTAGCAGTTAGCAACGGCATTCAGAATGGGAGCACCCTCCCCTTAAAGACATTTTAGAAGCTACTGGGCGTCATGGCAGCAGTCTCCTCAGTGGTTGTCAGTTCAAAGCTAGACTAAAAACACATCTCTTTGACCTAGCATACACATAATACATTATAGACTTCTATAATTCAATGTTAGGCTGCATAGATTAGGTCAGCCGGAACTGGGAACACTTCTCTTAAATCCAGATGTACTCGTTACATCATAAGAAGAATGGCATCTACGCTAATATTAGTGTCTTTGTTTATCCCGAGGTTTTCCCGCAGCCTGCCGGATCCAGGCCGTATCCAGATATGACGAAGGAGATAAAGCGTTGTGAATTTCGGTTCGCCTACCCCGAAGTGATAAAATAAAACCAAATTCTGTATCAAAATTTATAGGCAAGACAAGTAGTTTGTTTAGGCTGGGTTGTATGGAATTACAAACCTGCGCACATAATTTCAAAAGCACATAACTATAGAATCAATTCTGAATGTGCATGTGAACGCCGTCAGCGTTAATCACAGGTTCGCGTTTAAAAGTCTGATCATTTCGACGGAGGTGAATCAATCAAAATTAACTTTAGCTTGAAATAACATTATTCAAGAACCGCTATAAAGCCAAAACAATCTCTGTTACCTTAAATTATATGTTTATCTCTGTAAAGCTGCTTTGAAACAAGCCATTGTTAAAAGCGCTATATAAATGAAGATGACTTGACTTGACTTGGTTCCCTTGGGCCTGCTACACATGCAGTCTCTGCAACACTGGTTGAAGGCGCACGTCCCACCTTGAGCTTGGTGCGAGAGCCGTATTATTCTCAGGGTGAGCCGCGGGTGTACCGGAGCCGTGGCCCCCTGGAAATCGCCCCATCTATGTCGGAGGGCCGTGGAACTGGGCTCAGTTTCAAGAAGGAAGGTAGTCATGACAGACACCCCCAAGACGGGTTAAGGTGCACTGTGCGACGGCGGACACATCAACTGCCTGCAAATTATGTGCTCCTGGCTTTCAAGGAATTTTAGCAGGAGCTCAGGCGCACCATGTCCTGGTCCGGCTGGACAACAGGACAGTGGTAGCCTATATAAATCACTAGGGCGGTCTCAAGTCCCATCCACTGAACAGACTGGCACGCTGCTTCCTCCTGTGGGCACAGGACAGCCTCTGGTCAATATGAGCTTTACATGTGCCAGGCTCCATGCACACAGGAGCAGTCCCAGAAACGGACCGCCCCGAGGGTAATGGAGACTCCACCCCCTGATGGTCCGAATGATTCTGAGCATTTTCAGCCAGGCAGAAGTGAATATCTTCGCGTAGGAAGAGAACACCCACAGCCTGATATTCTTTTCTTAGGAGAAAGGAGGCATTGGCCCACAGGTGGCCTCCTCTGTGCCTTTATGCCTTCCCTCCAGTAGCACTGCTCCCTCAGGTCATCAGCTGAATCAGGGAGGACAGATGCTCAGTCTTACTCGTGGCATCGCTCTTGCAGAACCAGCCGTGGTTCCCAGGAAATGGTCCAGTTGCTATCTGCAGCACCTCGGCCAAACCCTCTGAGAAGGGACCTCTTTTCCCAATGGAAAGTGTCCATCTGGCATCCCCAACCCAAGTTGTGGAGCCTCCACCTATGGCCTCTCGCCAGGAGCCTTCAAGCCTCCCCCGGAGGGTCTTGAACATGATCTCTGAGCTTAGGGTACCTTCTACCAGGCGCCCTTATATGCAGAAGTGGGCTATATTTTCCCGGCTGGTGCGCAACTCGACTTATAGAGTCCCGCTTCCATTCTCTCTTTTCTTCTGGAGCTGTTGGACGGCTGATGCACTCCGTCCACGCTAAAAGTATACACAGCAGCTATCGCGGCGTACAATGCCATGCTGGCCAGTCGATTGGGAAACATGACCTGATGATCAGATTTCTCAGAGGGGCCAGGAGGCTAAACCCGCCTTGACCCAACACGGTCTTTTCCTGGGACCTGTCCATTGTCCTGAGTGCACTCCATTTGAGCCACTCATGATGACAGCCGACCTTTCCGCCTCTCTCTCGCTAAAGACCGCTCTCCTGGTGGCTCTGGCATCGGTCAAGCGAATTGCTGACCTGCAGACTCTCTCAGTGGACATTTCTGCCTTGAGTTTGGGCCTAACGACAGCAAAGTGGTCCTTAAACCCACGGCCTTTAAGGCATAAGTTATCTCACTCTCTGCTGAGGCTTCACAGGACGGCCTCCGTTCGGCACTGGTAGCACGGCCCTTTCCCCAAACGCGTCAGAGACTGATGCAATGCGAAGTGAACAGCATTGAAGGGGAAAGCTACTAATGTAAGATACGGGAACGAGCATTGCATTTGCTGTGCTACTGCACATATGCAGATTAAATAGGCAGTCGGCCCCGCCCCTTCTGGCAAGGGCACAGACGTGAACCAATCAGGCTTCAGTATTTGGAGAAAACGGAGTTTCCCCATACGCGTCAGAGACACAATGCTAATTCCTGTACTGTATCTCAGGGAACCGAGGTTATGTTAGTAACCGGAGCGTTATCGTTATAGTTTTATTTATAGTTATCGTTCTTGGTGTGAACAGGCCTCAAGCTGAAGCTTGTTACAGCAGGATGGATTCTGATTGGCTGTCAATGTTTTTATCGTTCATCAGCTCGATAAAATCATTCTGAAAGTGATTCCAGCTATATTGTTTCTCTGTGCCATTAGCGTTATAGTTGTGGTGTGGACTCTGCCTTTTTTTCCTAAAATATAATAATTATTTTCTAAAATATAATAATAATAATAAACTTTTGGGGTCTCTCGCAAAAGTTTTGCGTTTCCCTATAAACTTTGCACAAAACACAAAGTTTCTCGCGGAATGCAAAAGGTTTTTGAGAGAGAACGCAAAAGTTTTGACCAATAATCTTTCCTCCCATCTCCTTCACCATGTCCCTTTACGGCTCCGTATCTTCCACATTGAAAAGGGTTGCCAAATTTTATGAAACACTTGACTTTTATTTCTTAACCAGTATGTTATTTTTCTTAAAGGTACACTGTTGTTAACCTCAGATAACCAAAAACTGATAGGGACCACAAAATCAGATTTCCACTTCTTGGCAATTTTTAGCTAAATTTCTGTGAGTTTTATGGTGTGTCCTTGCCAAAGATCAGAATTTGTGTAATTACCCAGTAGACATATTTATGGATCCATTGGGAAATTGACTCCATGGATGTCAGAGATAATGTTACACACTTGTTTACACCACATCTAAATAAATCCAATGGTGGTTCCCCATAAGTTCAGAATGCAACTCTTTAAATATGGAAATGAAACGTGGATGTGCTCCAAGTGTTATAAATCGGTGTCTATTAACACTGTTAATATTGTGAGTGATATAGACGCATGGTCATCCACTAATGAGGGGCCACGGGGGACATATTTGTTACACTTTCCATCATCAGTGTCACCATGGTTCCTCTCTGTTGTTGCTTGGCAACCGTTTCATCCTGCAATTGAAGCAAACATCAAAGCCGAGACTTAAAATCATCCAATTACACAATGGGGTGATTTCAGTTGAAATAATATGCGATAGCCTCTCATTATTCCATTTAATTATCACAATGAATCTATATCTTCATCAACAGTAATCATTTTAGGACGCTTCTTCAAATATCCTTGAAAAATTCACCCTTTCAAAATGTACCATGGTAACCATAGTTTCTGATAATCTATAGGAGTTTGGGATGAGCTGTAACTCGAGGTTTAACCACTTACAGGGGTGGAATAATGTAATCGTACAACGAACACCCTCCTGATGTGGCAGCAGAACTTATAAGTCTCTGTTTTCGTATAAAGGTTTACAGGAGAATAATAATAATTTAGAGGTATGGAAATAAACTGTCATGTGTGGTTTATTCATTTGACTTGTGATCATGTTAATTAATGTTAAATGATTGGTATAATCTGAATCAGCAGGTTCTCTTGTTTAATTTGATATATAACAACAGCACAAGCACACACACACACACACACACACACACACACACACACACACACACACACACACACACACACACACACACACACACACACACACACACACACACACACACACACAAACACACACACACACATACACACACACACACAAGCACACGCAAACACACACACACACACACACACACACACACACGTCTGATCAGTTGAAAGCCTATTTTTGTGTATTTTTAAATTTGAGTATTTTTAAATTTTTCTAATTGTATTTAGTTTAAAATTAAAATTATGTTAAAATGAAATGGGTAGTGAGGGATGGTTTAACTATTATATTATATTATATTAGGCTATATTATATTATATTATTATTTTATATTATGTTTAATTATATTAATTAATTATATTATGTTATATTATATTAATTATTAATTTATTATATTATATTATAAAGAGGCCACACAAGTCTGAGATTGTTCTCGTTGTGTCCGGTAGGTGGCGGTATGTCTTTTGTTAAGCATCAACAGACAGCAATACAGAAGAAGACGAGGAAGTGCTTTATTTACATACTTTTGTTGTCATCTAAGAACTTCGGTTGTTGTTGTTTTATCATTATTTAAAGCTTTTATCGCGCCAGGACCCGCTGTCAGTGTTGAGAGAGGTGTGTGTTCTCCAGTGGACGCGAGCGGACAGCATTAATGGCCGAGGGCAGCAGCGGTAACCCGGGCAGCGCTCCTCCCGGAGACCCGCAGCTCATCGCGCTCATAGTGGAGCACCTGAAGAACAGAGGCCTGTTCGACGAGTTCAGGAGAGACTGTCTGGCAGACGTGGACACGAAGGTGATGTGAATGGACGTACATTTGAACAGTCGTGGCCATGTCTCAAAAGCTGGTTATCTGCCGTCATAGACAGCATTTCTGTGCGTCATCTGCGCTTTTCTACTCTCGAACATGCCCATAAAGTGTCAAGAAATGATTTCCACTGTCCATTTAGGCAGATTTTAGGTTTTGAAACAATATCTGTCTGTCTGTCTCTTTGTATGTCACATATCCCTCTATCTATCTATCTATCTATCTATCTATCTATCTATCTATCTATCTATCTATCTATCTATCTATCTATCTATCTATCTATCTATCTATCTATCTTTATGTCATCTATCTGTCTTTGTGTGTTTATCTATCTATCTATCTATCTCTATCTATCTATCTATCTATCTATCAGTCTGTCTGTCTGTCTATCTGTCTTTATGTGTCATCTATCTATCATCTGTCTGTCTGTATATCTGTCTTTGTGTGTCATCTATCGGTCTGTCTGTCTGTATGTTATGATATCTATCTGTCTGTCTGTCTCCATATATTCAGTATCCATCTCATTTAAACTGACATGAATTCATATTTCTTTCCAGCCAGCTTATCAAAATCTGCGACAGAAGGTGGACAACTTTGTGTCCACTCATCTCAGCACTCAAGAATGGAATCCGTCCATCAACAAGAACCAGGCGAGGAATGGCTTGAGACAAAGCGTAGTCCAGTATGTATCAACTCTTTTATTATTTTTGTTCATTTTATTGTATTGTGCAATGCTGTCCTGTAAGTCTGAAGTTTTGTTTTAATGCATTGCATTATATACACTATGTACACGTGTTTAAAGTTGTGAGTAATTTTACTTTTTCAATAAACGCCACAAGGCCTGTTAAAATAGGATACCTTTTTTGCGTCAGTGTGATGTTTTAAAAATGTCATGTTAAAGGTGTAATGTCTAATGCATTACACAAGATTTATTAAATAAAATATAATTTTCCTTTGTATTTTTATTGAAAGCATTTGATTATTCTCACAGGTCGGGGATGTTGGAATCAGGGGTGGACCGAATCATCACTCAGGTGGTGGACCCTAAGCTGAACCATACCTTCAGGCCACACATCGAGGACGCCATTCATGATTTTCTATCTGCAGAGACGAGAGAAGAGGGTGCATCGATTTCAGCCCTCGATGCTGAACAACAGGAAATGACCAGCAACACCGCAGCCAAAACACAATGAGGTAAGATACATTTATGCTAAGAAATGTTGCAACATAATTATCACCAAAAAATGACTTAATCTATACACTGATGAGCCAAAACATTATGAGCAGTCACAGGTGAAGCGATTATCGTTGATCATTTCCTATCAAGGCCACATATTAGGGTCTGGATAGATTCGATGGCAAGCAAACAGTCAGTTCTTGTATCAACGTGTTGGATGCAGGAGAAATGGGCAGGAATAAAGATCTAAACGACTTATCGAGGGCCAGATTGTTATGGCAAGGCGACTGGGTCAGTGTATCTCTGAAAACGCGAGGCTTGTGGGTTTCTCCGGGTCAGCAGTGCTGAGGATTTACCAACAAACCGGCGAGAGGGTGTCGGGCGCTCGAGGCTCATCGCTGCACGAGGGAACGAACACCATCCCGTCAGGTCTGAGCCAACAGAAGATCTACTGTGGCACAAGTCACACGAAAGTTCAATGATGGTTATGGGAGGAATGTGTCACGACTCTGCGTAGCTGTAGACCGATCAGAGTGTCTGTGAGGACCAGATGCCATTGATAACTGCTGTCCACCATCGAAAGCGAGCAGCAGAACTGGACCTTGGAGCAGCGGAAGAAGGTTGTCTGGTCCGATGAGTCCTGTTTTCTTTTACATCCCGTGGACGGCCGTGTACGTGTGCAGCGTTTATCTGAGGAAGTGATTCACCAGGATCCACTGTGGGACGAGGACAAGCCGGTGGAGAGACTGATGATGCTCTGAGAAATGTCCTCCTGGGAAACCCTGGGTCCGGCCATCCGTGTGGACACAAATTTGACACGTGCCACACTGTTCACCTCTTCATGACAATGGTGTTCCCTGGTGGAAGTGTCTCTTTCAGCCGGAGAATCACACTGCACACATTGATCAGGAAAGGTTTGAGGTACATGATGAAGAGTTCAAGGTGTTGTCCTGGCCTCCATTCTCCAGATCTCCATCCAGTTGAGCATCTGTGGGATGTGCTTTACCAACAAGTTCGATCCACAGCGCTCCTCCTCACAACCTACAGGACTTGGAAGGATCTGCTGCTGATGTCTTGGTGCCAGAGACCACAGGACGCCTTCAGGGCTCTTGTAGAGTTCATGCCTGGAGCTAGAGTTGTCAAAAAGTACAGACTTTGACTTCGTTTACCAAATTTTAACTGATAGACGCATGCTTTCAAACGCTCCCGTCCCGTGTGTATTTGTGTAAGCGCTCGGTGAAGAGCGTCATTGATGTATATTTACAACATGTTTTTGAAGCGTGGATCATTGTAGCCAATCACAGACATGTGTGATGAGCGCGCGAGTACAATGGCCAATCAGAGGTGTTTACGATTCTGCTCAACAGCGCTCAAAGCGTCACATTGTTTGAATTTCAGTACCAACTTGGAACCGAAGTCGGTACTTTTTGGCAACTCTACCTGGAGGATCAACAGCATGTCATGGTTGTAATGTTTTGACTCATCGGTGTAAAGTTACCTTGAGAAATAAGTAGCTTCTATCATGTCATATATTAGTGGAATAAAAAAAAATGTATTGGTGCACCCTTAATATTGAGTTTTTTGTGGCAAAGGGCAATATGTATGTAATTACAATGTAATACTTGGTGTTTTTCCAGGTACAAGAATACATTTTTGCTATTTCACATGGAGATCACCAAAAGTTGTCCTTCCGTGACTGGCTACAGCGGACGAACATTTGCTGAGCACCGGAACTTTTTGAATTCAAGTGGTTAGATTGGGTTGTTTTGCACAATGTGTGTGTGTGTGTGTGTTTAGCATGTTCCATAAAAGCAAGTTGTTAAGCCCATGCTGTCTGGTTTAGTTTAATGAAATTACATCTTCAGCGCTAAAGAACAACTGAAGCTTATTTGTCCAAATTAAAATAAATGTTTTTGAAAAAACATGGATTAAAAAAGTACATCGAACTGAAGCCAGACGCAAATGATCCTTTTTACACAGCTGGATTTGTGAAATTCTTCTCTTTTTGTTCTTGCTATATTCCAATGGGACTCATAGCATTGTTTGTTTCTACAATAAATGTAACTTTTTAAGAAAAGCCAAGTTGGTTGCATCATTTGTGGTATTGTAAAACCTCTGAATCATTGCAAGAGGTTACGGTTTGTTGTGGGAAACATGCTACATAATGACATGGTCCTGGACTCCTTTTAGCAATGGCATTTTTGACAGGAGGTCTTCACCAGCGTTTTTTATGATTCCATCTGGACATTAACTAGAGCGAATAACCTCAAGAGTTCACCATGTTCTGTACCATGCAGAGTGCAGACACAGTGTTACATGATTGAAACCATTTGAGGCTAAAAGCTTGTCCACCCCGAGACTGCATTTGAATCTCCGGCGTCCTCATGGCATGAAATTCCAGAGAAGAGCTTTTTGGTAATGGAAGAGCCTCTGGAGGGGTGTCATGTCCCGGCTTCGGACAAAGGTCGGCCGTTCCAGCTTGTTTCTGTCTCTCAGCACGTCAGCGCTGAGAATGTGCTGTGCAGTCAGATGCTCGGTCGGACTGCTAAAGAGCTGCGGTCACGTGTCTTGTCGTCGCAGTGAAGCTCTTTGGATCTAAATTTTGCAGCTGAACTTATTCAGATTTTCTTAAAAGGAATGAGAGTGCATTGGTGCCCGTTCTCTTTTCTGGTCTGTTTAAAGGGGTGGTTGATTATGATTTCACTTTTCTAACTTTAGTTAGTGTTTAATGTTGCTGTTTGAGCATAAACAACATCTGCAAGGTTACGACGCTCAAAGTTCAGAGCAAAGGAAGACATTTTCTTTTAAAGAAATCGTTTTTTAAGGACTACAACAAACGGCTGGTAGGGACCACACAAGCTACTTCCCGGGTTAGTGACATCACTAACCCTAACATTTAAATAAACCCCGCCCCCAAAACGCGATTTATACATTATCATGATAGAATATGCTAATCAATGACTAGAAGATAACTACACATAAATTCATCAACTAACCATTCAGAAATGTCCTGTTGCTTCTATTTGTTGTCACTTCGGCCCTGTCCCAATACCCGCACTTGCGCCCTTGTGCCCCTCAATGCGCGTTCTCGCTAAGGGGTGCAAGACCGTAGGGTGTCCCGATCCTCTAATAGTGTTCTTCAGGGGTGATCATAAGGGCACTTAATGCACCCCTTTCGCAAGTGCGCATCAGACCTCACTTTGCTGTGGGATATTACCCAGAATCCTTGTAGTGTTGTGACGTTTCGAACAGCTAACCAATGGGGGAGAATGGTTGCTATGGTGCTGTTCGGGAGCGGAAACTCCGAAGATAAAGGAAACCGGTATGGTGAAGTGTTTTTCAAGGCCGCGAAATTTTAAAATATTAGTGTTATCGTGTCACGAAATGTAGTTTTAAGAGTTTTTCAGTCGAGAATATAGTTGTTTAAAGCTCAAATCTGTGGTTTGTTTATAAAGATAGCGCCTATTTAAAATTTTGATCTGACTTTTTCGGAGTTCCAGGGATCAGCGGGCGCACAGCGCTCATGTACCCCGCCTGGAACAGCCTTACCTCGGCTAGTCATTCTGACGTTTCCCGCGGGCTCTGTGTCTAGTGGTTAAACATGAGCTATAAATCGGCTTGTGTATATCTAACAGGCGATCTTTGGTCTCATTAATCTATGATTTGTTCCCTGGCAAATCGTTTTGGCTGAGGGCAAAGTGAAGTTTCATAACTTTATATATTTATGCTATTTAACTGTAACGTTAGCCTGTTGACTTATGTTTGACTGAATCTTTTAACTTGCTTTATTTCTTGACTTATATAGCTTCTTATACTTTTTAGGCTACTTATAATTTAATAATGGCTATTATTGATCAATAAAACTGAAATTTAACAAAAAGAGACAGGGTTGTGTCATTTTATTTCATATAGCCTATGTAAGACTTTTAATATAGCCTTAGCCTATATATAATATATCACCAACACGTCATGTATTTTTTCATGTATGGGATGGGAAGAATTTCATATATCAATTTCCATAATAACATAATTAAAATTGCATTTCGAATTGCTGTGAATACGGTAAGGCAGTTTAAGCTCAGGTAAACCCCAATCACAATTTATCTTAGCCAAAAACTGTTTTAATATTAATAACATTAACAGAAAGGTTGGTAGCTAAGAGTAAAAAAAGATATTATTTTCTTCATTCAAAGGATTGTGTCATGTTACAGCTATTATAAGCAGCACACACACATTAGCCAAATGAATGGTGTTTGCTCTCCTGATCACAACAGAAGTGGCGTGTGCAAAACTGTCCCAATTCTGCTCTTCACAGCTTTGGGCCCTTGCGCACTTACTCCGCTAAGTGCACTTTCAACAAGTGTCCACTTCCAGGAAGGCCTTAGGGCTCAAGCGAGAATTGGGACTGGGCCTTCTTCTTGAGTCTCTCTATCTTTGTCTGACTCCGGTTTGAACATAAACAGTGCGAGGTAAAAGGACACGAGCTCTTGTAGCTCCGCCCCCTGTGCCGGGAGCAGCAGCTCATTTGCATTTAAAGGGACACACACACAAAAACGGTGCGTTTTTGCTCACCGTCAAAAAGTAATATTTTAACATGCTAGTTAAAAATATCTGTGGGGTAATTTGAGCTAAAACTTCACACACACTCTGGGGACATCAGAGACTTATTTTACATCTTGTGAAAAGGGCATTATACCACCCCTTTAAAGGTGACATTATGCCCATTTTCACAAGATGTAATATAAATCTACGGTGTCCTCAGAATGTGTCTGTGAAATTTCAGATCATTTATTATAGCTTGTCAAATTTGCCCCTTTTTGGGTGTGAGCAAAAATGCGCCGTTTTTAAGAATTTGCAACTTTTAGACTGCATTGTTTCTGAATATTTATGTAGTAGTTGTGGAGTTACATTGGTTCATCTCATCGACTTGCCTGTACCGTCAGAGAAAGGCTTAAAGGGGTCATATAATGCCATTTTCATACAAGTTAATTTGATTCTTAGACTTTAGGGTCT